AGCTAATTAAGATGGCATTTCATTTAACATACCAAATCACTTCCATGATCTAATTCATATCAAACTGCAACAACAAAAGGAAACCATTACTAGAATTCTGTTGGAACTATTGTTTTATGTGTCGGTCTCACCTTTTTTTCATTCTTGGTAATGATTTTTTAATTTTTTATTTTTTTTTTTTTAATTTTTTTTGATGTATACGTACATGATTAGGTGTTGTGCTTTTGTGGTCTTACCTATAATGCATGTCTCCCTTGTCCTTATAATGAATTTATAGACAACTTTTGTTACTTGCTCCTGTGAAGTCTTGCTTTCCTAGGTTTTCTTTAATGCAGGTGTATATATGGTAGAAGAGAGGCCATTATTGATTGGCTAACTTCATGGGAAAACTTCAGCTCAGAAACACTGCCAAATATGTACTACAGTATCACAGAAGGGAAGGAATGTACAGAATACAAAAAGTTGGAGGTGAGGATAGGAATAAGCATAGGTTAATTAGGATGGGGACAGAAGGGCTGAACGGTGTACAGAAAGACAGAGGATGGAGGGGAGCAATAAACATGTATGGAGAAGGAATGGACAGTGCAATAATATTGGGAGTATGACATCTGTTTTTCACAGAAATTCAATCTATTAGTTGTACTATTCCATCATATGTGTCACAGCCAGTGTTCCCCAATATCTCAACAATTTTTTTTTTTTTGGTCTTCAAGAGCTGTTCTTTGATCAGTGACAGAGTTCCAAGAAGCATACAAAATGTAAAAACATTTACTCTAGGACTTGTGTTTGACAATATTTGTAATTGTCCAAACTACTTGAGCAGAGCAGAAAATTGCTATCTCTATCTGTTTGCTTGTGTGCAATTTTGTCCAAACCATGTCTGTTCTATTACACACAGCTGAATTTGTAGACTGGTATCTGGTAGGATGAAAGAGTTTCAAATGAAAGTCAGGTATCAGGACACACAAATGCAGAGTTTACAATATCCCTTTCTTCGACCTTAGACATATTTGATCTTTTAGCAATACAGGGTTATCTGCTCTTGTAAACAGGTAAAACTTGTTACATGTTACATCATTTGTTTGTGAAAGTATAGTCATGGCAGACAACATAATTTTCTCACACAAACTGATGACATAACTATCAATGCCTGCTTACAAGACAGCTCTGCATTACAAACTGATGGAATTCTGAAAGAAGTGCTAACATTATGTGAAATATCTCCCATTGGGACCAAAACTATAACATGTGATGTGATTCACACTGTATGTGGCCACTTACCTTTTATGGTAACTAAATTTCATCACTTTTTTCTTACGGTGGAGGTGGGGAAGAATCTCCTTTTGTGGATACCTGTGTATATTGTACACTGAAAGCCGTGATATATCTTCATTCATAGCCAGAGAACCAATGTGACTACCTTAAAATCATTCATTTACATCCGATGTATTTAATTTGTTGATTTTATCAACAAATTTGTTTGTCTATGAAATGATAAACAGAAATTTAGGAAATATTCTCTTGGTACCAATGAATCTCATGAGTACCATTTTTATACAAATCAAATGTCACTAAAAATTTATTTACATAGAAAACCACAAAATTTGAGCCCCCACAAGCACTAAGAGACAGGATACTTGTCTTTCTCACTCATCTCTCATGGGAAAGTAGGATTAAAGTTAACAAGGAAATAAATTGTTTGTACAAATTACACAAAAATAGCCACTGGTAATAAACATCAGTGCCAAATTGAAATAATGTCATTTCCATTGAAGCACATGATGTTGAGCCTTATTCCAGATATAGAATGTTTTGTTAAAAGCCAGAATTAGTTTATATATGATTTGTAACTGACTTTGAAGGCCTGCAGAGAGAAGATGAATCAATTTACATGACTGACAGACAAAAATATATCATTATACCTCTTACATTATACCATTGATAATTTCCAAAAACAATCTGCAAAATCTGCACCTACTGAAGTTTTAAAAGGAACAGCTGACATACAAATAAATCAAGGTCGTGTTATGAGGAAATAGATGATACGAAATCAATGAGATTACTGCATGGTCTATTTGGTTCCAGTGGATGATCATTCGGCTGAATGAATTTGTTTTCATGCCTAGATAGGTAGGCATCAATAACATAGATTTTACCTTGTATTTGAATTAAACATTGGCCGCAATGTTCCGGTGTTTTTTTACCCTGATGCTGTATTGTTTCATGGTGTTTGCACAGGTAGATTCATTCTGTAGCACTCCAGTGTGGACATTGATTTTAGATGTTGTGTAAGGTGACTGAACGATACTCAATTATCGATGCCTTCTAAGGTGATAGATAGTAATTACTGCTGGCTTCCACACCTGTACAGCCAGGCAGGTAAACTTTACTCTATCACAGTTTAAGGTTTCATTAGTGAGAAATTAGGCTGAGATAAGACCTGTTGGCTCCATCCTAGAATGCCTTATATATGTAAACATTGGAACATCTGAACAGGAACCTTGCTGAAAATTAAGCATCCAGCACTAAGTTTCAGTTTTTGTACTTTTGGACTAATAGTATAACAGATAGTGCTATTCACATCAGAGCAATTCAATCATAGAAATGAGTGTTATAAGAAAATGTGTCAAAAATCATTCAAGTAGATCATTTAAAGCTTGCAATAACACACAGTAGCTGTCCAATTGAGTCAGTAAAGATCCAAAGTTTGTGCTTGGACAGTCCCTACCTGTTTGTAGATTAAGCATAAGTCTGTTGTGGTTTCATTTGTCTTGGAGCAATGACACCTTACTCCAGTTCCTTTTGGTGGCATGGTATGGGCCTCCGGTATGTTGTTCAGTGAGGTAGTCACCAAGTGTCTACAAGGAGACCCCAAATCAAATGACCTTGACTCTCAAAGTCAAATGATGCTGTAGTATGTACTCTCACAGTTTAAGTGCATATAAAGTTGGGTGATAGTTTTGAGCCACATCCTATATACCCCAGCTACACCTTGAAGTTGGTATTTTAAATGGGTACTGAATAATGTGTACATATTCAAGGGAATAAGTTTCTATATGAGCTAAAATATATTGTCTGGCTGTGATCAAGCCACATTGACATTCTGTTGCATTTGTTTTTTATTTAATTATATTAAATATTCTTTCATGATCAGTTCATAATGATATGCATGTGTGAGTGGGTGTATGTGTGTGTATATGGATGTACATTGGCAATATTGCAGCTTAAATGGCATAGTGCCTTCATTATTAATGTATTGTTGAAGCACTTATTTGAGTCTTAATCAAGAGATAATAAACACTCAATGTTTTGGATTAGTTTCAAAATGAGCATACTTATAGTGTTGATAAGTGTATCAGTGTTGTATCATCAGCACCTGACCATTACTTCAGAACGATGACTCAGGGGATGATACAAGTTGTCATCAACAATATCTATTTTGATGAAAGGAACCCTTGTAAGCACATAATATAGTACGGTCACTGTAATGAAAGATGACTTTTTGCTTGAATGACACTGAAATATACATGTGTTGCTGCTGTTGACATTTAAATGTATGTTGCTGTTATCATTAAAAGGTATACATATGTTTCTGCTGTTGACATTAAAAGGTACACATATGTTTCTGCTGTTGACATTAAAAGGTATACATATATTTCTGCTGTTGACATTAAAAGGTATACAAACATTTCTGCTGTTGACATTAAAAGGCATACATATATTGCTGTTGTTGTCATTTTAAGGTATACATACATTTCTGCTGTTGACATTAAAAGGTATACATATATTTCTGCTGTTGACATTAAAAGATATACATATATTTCTGCTGTTGACATTAAAAGGTATACAAACATTTCTGCTGTTGACATTAAAAGGTATACATATATTGCTGTTGTTGTCATTTTAAGGTATACATACATTTCTGCTGTTGACATTAAAAGGTATACATATATTTCTGCTGTTGACATTAAAAGGTATACATATATTTCTGCTGTTGACATTAGAAGGTATACATATATTTCTGCTGTTGACATTAAAAGGTATACATATATTTCTGTTGTGTACAATAAATTGGGAAAATGTTGCTGCTATAGATATAGATGGAATCATGTTAAGCATTAGATTTGAAGAATTGTTGCAGCTTTGTACAAATACTGGTGAATGTTTCACCACCTTACTGTCACTTGTGACAGTATTATCCACAACATGTCATATGACCCCTGACCCAGCTTCTGAGGCAATGGAGATGAGAACACTGATGGCTCACAGTAGCTGGACAAAGATGGATGGATGCAGAGGCAAGGCAATTTGAATCATTGCTTTGAAAATTTAAAATCAATATATTGATCCTGAGAGAGGCAGGATGAATGTAGAGGTTTTCATTTGCACAATAATGTAGCAGGACTTGCCTGTTTCTGACAGTGTACAAAATAGAAATTCCATTGATGAACATCAAGTGTACCACACTGCAGAACAATTAATGTATCTTCTAAAGCTTATCTTATTAGCGTGTCTTTATTTTGAGATCATATGCAGTATATCTAATGATTTATCAGTCGACCAGCCCTTCTTCATCATCCAGAACTTAAGTCACAAACATTCAGAAATGTCTTGTATGATTCAATAAACAATGTAATGTAATCAGTATCTATATAATTGATACATGAATAACCTTTTTTTTATTTATTATTATGAAGTTAACTTCTGACAGAGTTAAGTTTGGATGTTCAACTCCAAATGTTGCTATCAAGAGATCAATTTACAAACAGAAAACCTGAAGATTGCTGTTTGTAAGGAAAAAATATTGTATCTTATATCTCTTATAGCTCCTACCAACATTTGTGCTGATATTTCCTTTTTCCATTACTTATCCAATGCACGTAATGTCAAAGCTTTCCAAAAATATTTGTATACATTATCTTGTATATATTTAATGAATTAACATGCATTTATTCGTAAATGCCAAGAGAGTCGACTTTGTCCTTGACATTCAATATCAGATTGGGACGACCAGGTGTGGACATCCATTGTAGTCAGGATGGAGATATAGCCATTACACAGATACTCTTCCTTGTCAATGAGGTAATTATATATATATATATACAAGTCCCATGATGTCATTGTCACTGGTAAGTTCCAGAATGTGATGCTTATTGTCAATAAGGTAAGTCTCAAGGTGTGATACTCATTATCAAGGAGGTAAGTCCCAAGGTGTGATACTCCCTGTCAATGAGGTAAGTCCCCAGGTGTGATGCTCATTGTCACTGAGGTAAGTCCCCAGATGTGATGCTCATCATCACAGTGGTAAGTTCCAGATTATGATGGCTTCCTTGTCGGTGAGTTGAGTCCCAAGGTGTGATACTTCCTGTCAAGGAGGTAAGCCCACAAGTTAGATACTCTGTGTTGCTGAGTAAGCCCACAACTCTGTGTTGCTGAGTTAGTCCCCAGATACTCTGTGTTGCTGAGTCCCCAGGTGTGATGCTCATTGTCAATGAGGTAAGTCCCCAGGTGTGATGCTCATCATCACAGTGGTAAGTTCCAGATTATGATGGCTTCCTTGTCGGTGAGTTGAGTCCCAAGGTGTGATACTTCCTGTCAAGGAGGTAAGCCCACAAGTTAGATACTCTGTGTTGCTGAGTTAAGTCCCCAGGTGTGATGCTCATTGTCAATGAGGTAAGTCCCCAGGTGTGATGCTCATTATCACAGTGGTAAGTTCCAGATTATGATGGCTTCCTTGTCGGTGAGTTGAGTCCCAAGGTGTGATACTTCCTGTCAAGGAGGTAAGCCCACAAGTTAGATACTCTGTGTTGCTGAGTTAAGTCCACAGGTGAGATGCTTCTTGTCACTGATGTTAGTCCCGAGATGAGATGCTCTCATTGAAGTAAGTCTCAAGGTCAGTTGCTCTTTGTCAGTGATGTAAATCCTCTGGTGAGATGTTCTTTGTCAATGAGGCAAGTTCTAGGTGTCATTGAGGTAAGTCCCCAGGTTTTAATACTTCTTGTCATGGATTTAGATCCCCAGGTGTGATGCTAGTGCCTGTCATTAAAAATGCAAATATCACATATACATAATAACAGTTGTGATACATTGTGTCATATGTCATATAGCTGGCACACATTTTCTACAACATGGATACTGTCAGTAATGTAACACATATGTCATACAACTGTCACACATTTTCCACAAAATGGATACTGTCAGTAATGTTATACATTGACATACAGCTGTCACACATTATCCACAACATTTATACTGTCAGTAATCTAACACATTGTCATATAGCTGTAACACTTTTTCCACAACATCAATACTTACTGTAATGTAACATTGTCATACATCTGTCACACATTTTCTACAACATGGATACTGTCAGTAATCTAACACATTGTCATACAGCTGTGACACATTTTCTGTAAGATCCTTCAGGTGTGATGAAGAAGGAAAAAAATTGCTTGATACGCTCAGACTTCAGTTAGAATATATGTTGTTTAGTTTAAGTACTAATGTAGTACTTATTAGTACATTTGTTTAATTATTGATTTACTGCTACTGGTATGTACAGGTATGTCAATTAAAACAAAGGTCTGTGTTTACATTATCCATGTGAAACTTTTTCTGAATTACTGTGATATGTTTACAGGGTGCACTTGTTACAGTGTGTAACGATGATAGTCTGCATTTGTGGAACTTTCGCCAGAAGCGACCAGAAATTGTGCATACCCTCAAGTTTCAAAGAGAGAGGTGAGAAGGCCAATAGTTATTCATTCAATTCTCCTGATATTGATTTATGCTCTTGTGAAAATTAAACATTTAACTCTTCAAGAAAGAGACACAGTGTCATGGAAACACTGTCTAAACCCAAATCCCTTGGCGACAAAATCTGTAAGTCTTGATCAGTGTTTATGAAGCTACATATTTCATCAACAACACATTAGTCTATGATGCTGAAAACATGAGCTAGGCTCTTGGTATGAAGCATTAAGCTTTAAACTGTGCAGAACCTATATAGATCCAGAGAGAAGATAGTTTATGGGAAAAGTGTTGGCCATGATAGCTTATACTGCATTAACATAACATATAATAAAGTCATTAGTTCCCACATGAAAAGCCAAGTGTATCGATATTTTCCATTTCATTTTATACCTGATTACCCACAATCAGGTGAATTAGCCCGAGGGTCCATTGTACTCCGATCCACATCACACTGTTACAATGCACCTACTATACCTACACAATTTACTATTGATTTTAAAAAATTCTTACATCAGTCCAGATGCTGTGGAATGGGAAAGGTCAGAGGTGACAGATCTGAGGTATATAAAAGATAGCCACACATGCTTTGTCAAAGAATAATTATAGGTAAAAATACACCAAACCTTATAACACTACATCAGAAGTATTTATTACTGGTTATCTGGGAAGAAAATAAAATCTTTGTGATCAAATCCTCAAAGAGTTTTCCTAGAGGAAAACATGAATGATATTCAGAATTTACATTCACAAATTGATAGACTGTAAAGTAATGATGTTTATTTGGTCATAAATTGACTTATCAAATTTTTACCATACTTGACAGTTTTCACCTTGAGGTCAATGGAATCTGTCATTTCATCAATTTGATATAGACTAATGTCAGGGTTCAAGCTCATGGATGCAGTATCTAGACCGTGACAGACTGTACACATGTACTGAAACACATTTAGTCATTGTTGAACCAAATTCAAAGCAGGGTCATACATTTAAGAATTATAAACACTGTCATGTAAGTAGAGGAATCATCCGACTGTGAGAAATGGCACTTTGTACAAATTACTTCAGTATCCTTGTCATCTTGTCCCATGGCTAGATATTGTGTAAGTTACCATGAATCCCAGTTAAGATACAGAATCATCTATATATTTAATCTTACATTGTAGGCATAGAAAATATTAATCTGCATGTATGCAGTAGTTCATGCATTCTGAAGTCTTTGCAGAAGCTGTAGTATAATTCTTTATCAGTGATTAATCAAGAGTTCCTCACACCCACCAGTCTATCATGAATAAAAGCTGTTCTACTTAGACAACTGCTGATGACCAATAGCACGCAATACATGATCTCAACCTCTAATATTGGCTACCTACCTGATTGGGTAAAGCTTCACAGTATGCAGTTTCACACCCAGACTCTCAGCTTCCAGTGTATCTTACAAAACTCTGCACCCTAAATATCTTACAGAATGTGGCTTTTTATGTAACCTATCAGCTACCTATGGTATATTATAGGATATATCTCTACACCCTTATTATCTTACAGGACAAAGTCTTGTAACCCAATTATCAGCTAGTTAGTAAATGTTACAGAACAAAGCTTCATGCCCTACTTATCAGCCAGGTAGTGTATCTTAAAGAACAATGTTGACAGCCAAAGTTATCAGCTAACTAGTGTATCTTACGGGGCAAAGCTTTTCACCCAAGTATCAGCTAACTAGTGTATCTTACAGAACAAAGCTTCATGCCCTACTTATCAGCCAGGTAGTGTATCTTAAAGAACAATGTTGACAGCCAAAGTTATCAGCTGACTAGTGTATCTTACAGGACAAAGCTTTTCACCCCCAAGTATCAGCTAACTAGTGTATCTTACAGGACAAAGCTTTTCACCCCCAAGTATCAGCTGACTAGTGTATCTTACAGGACAAAGCTTTTCACCCCCAAGTATCAGCTGACTAGTGTGTCTTACAGGACAAAGCTTTTCACCCCCAAGTATCAGCTGACTAGTGTATCTTATAGGACAAAGCTTTTCACCCCCAAGTATCAGCTAACTAGTGTATCTTACAGGACAAAGCTTTTCACCCCCAAATATCAGCTAACTAGTGTATCTTACAGGGCAATGCTTTTCACCCCCAAATATCAGCTAACTAGTGTATCTTATAGGACAAAGCTTTTCACCCTCAAGTATCAGCTAATTAGTGTATCTTACAGGACAAAGCTTTTCACCCCCAAGTATCAGCTGACTAGTGTGTCTTACAGGACAAAGCTTTTCACCCCCAAGTATCAGCTGACTAGTGTATCTTACAGGACAAAGCTTTTCACCCCCAAAGTATCAGCTAACTAGTGTATCTTACTGGACAAAGCTTTTCACCCCCAAATATCAGCACACTAGTGTATCTTACAGGGCAAAGCTTTTCACCCCCAAATATCAGCTAACTGGTGTATCTTACAGGACATAGGTAAGGGCCCAGCTAGCTGGTGTATGGTATAAGACAAAGTTCCATACCCAAAATATCGGTCAGGAATTGTATCATACAGGATAGTTAGCAGGTGTAACACTCAAGTATCTGATGCCATGTATTTTTATAAATTCTGATATTCTGTTTACAAATTCATAGCGACAACCCTTATTTTGGGAAAAATATGATCAGTAGTGGCTGACATACCCCAAAATTATTTTATTTACTGTTTGAAATGATAATCATTGATATATTGTCAAGAGTTGGATAGTGTTTGGGTAATTAAGTGCAAAGAAAATTAGATGTAGCTTAAAGATTAAGAGCAAAGTTTTGTTTCTTAAATTAATTTTTAGTGCTTTTGTTGAAGTTCCATTTTTCACTCTGACACTATCTGGAGCAGAATTATTTTATATTGTGTAAGGAATTCTTAAAAGAATAATTTAATCTTTGTTAAATCAACTTTTCAGAATCAAATATCTATTTCTGGAGTTTGATAAAATAATAACCATTTCTGGAAATCCATAATTACAACAAGACTTAGTAACTAATTTCCTTTGGCAATCCTTAAAGTTGAATACTAGTTTTATTTTAAGATAATGAATTGTTCAGCTTTGTTCTATTTTAGAATAAGATTTGTAATTTTAGTAACTCAATTTTGAGGCAGTATGACTGAATGTTTTTGATTATATGTTAAATCTTTTGTATAATCTCTTTGATTATGTCATTGAATGGTCATAGGAGTTTGACTTCAGTGAAAATGTCTTGATGTACTTGTTAATTGTTAAGAGTATTTGTGTATATATATAGATACAATAAATTTCTCTTGATTAAGATTTTTCGTCTTTCAATTCGGAACATATTCCAAAATCACTCAATATCATATATCAGATCTTTAAAAAAAATTAGGGCATACATTTTTGTGAATTTTGATGGATCTGTGAACGTATCGAAATTAAAACTTTCGTGTTATTAGCAGCTTATACACTATTTATATCTAATCAAATTTAAGTACTCACTTCAGAGCTTCATTTAAGAATATCTTACCAAAGAAAAATCGAAGTTTCCAGTATTGATTGTGGTTTGCTAGGGGCCTTGTACTACAACAGCATTTCAAACTCTGTTACAGTGTATTCCCAAAGTCTCTACAAGTACATTCAATTCCATTTGCATGAAGTATGCATTAGTTGTAATATGTTTATGATGTAAATTGTGCATGTTTCCGACACACTGGGGAATTACATCACCCTAAATATAGACAGCGATGACAGGCGGGGGTCGTGGACAAATTGGATTATATTCGTGTACATATGGGCACCTGAAACATATTGAGGTTTTCATCATCTCTGTATTCTATACCTCACTTGATTGAAAAGGCAGGATTCCATTCAATCGCCTTTCTCTGACTGTGTCAATATATCATTTGTAATAGGTGACATTTAATTATTCCATAGAGGATTTATAGCCATCATGAAGAGAGTCCAAATATCCTCTTTAAGGATAGGTAAAGTACTGTAAAAATCATGTCTTTAACACATGCAAATTATAGCAGAAATATTATTAACATTAAGTGTATTAAGGAAATGCCATCATTCCCCAGAAAGACATGTATATACTTAGTGTAGGTTTGGACAATGATAGCCTGTGAGACGACTAAACGCTGGGTCAGTCAAACAGCAGACAAAAGTTGGACAAGCAGATAAGTGAATGCTTGATTAACATGATGGATTGTTGGACCAGAAAATTAGTGTTGATTGGATTAACAGATTAGTGATCAGGAAACAGGATTCAGACTGGATAGTAGGATAAGGTCATCAAGTTGTTTCTATACTGAATAGTGTGATGTCAAACTTTTTACTAGAGACTGGTAGTCACTGTCTACTTTAGGTTGTGGTGTTGGCACTGTCTACTTTAGGTTGTGGTGTAGTCACTGTCTACTTTAGGTTGTGGTGTAGTCACTGTCTACTTTAGGTTGTGGTGTTGTCACTGTCTACTTTAGGTTGTGGTGTTGTCACTGTCTACTTTAGGTTGTGGTGTTGTCACTGTCTACTGGAGACTGTGGTGTCATCACTGTCTACTGTAGACTGAGGTGTCATCACTGTCTACTGTAGACTGAGGTGTCATCACTGTCAACTGTAGACTGAGGTTTCATCATTGTCGACTGTAGACTGAGGTGTCATCACTGTCTACTGTAGACTGAGGTGTCATCACTGTCTACTTTAGACTGAGGTGTCATCACTGTCTACTGTAGACTGAGGTGTCATCACTGTCTACTGTAGACTGAGGTGTCATCACTGTCTTCTGTAAACTCAGGTGTCATAACTGTAGACTGAGGTGTCATCACTGTCGACTGAGGTGTCATCACTCTGCTGTAGACTGAGGTGTCATCACTGTTTACTTTAGGCTGTGGTGTTGTCACTGTAGACTGAGGTGTCATCGCTATCTACTGGAGACTTAGGTGTCATCATTGTCTACCTGAGACTGAGGTGTCATCACTGTCTACTGTAGACTGAGGTGTCATCACTGTCTACTGTAGACTGAGGTGTCATCGCTGTCTACTGGAGACTGATGTGTCATCACTGTCTACTTTAGGCTGTGGTGTCATCATTGTCTACAGTAGACTGAGGTTTCATCACTGTCTACTGGAGACTGAGGTGTCATCACTGTCTACTGTAGACTGTGGTGTCATCACTGTCTACTGTAGACTGAGGTGTCATCACTGTCTACTGGAGAATGAGGTGTCATCACTGTCTACTGGAGAATGAGGTGTCATCACTGTCTACTGTAGGCTATAATGTCATTACTATCAACTGTTGTCATGTGCTCCTCTAATGAAGATTGGTATGATCACAAGGGAAGTTGAAAAAGGATAAAAATTTCAATGGTTATTAATATAAACAGTTTGATGAGGGTAGCATTGTAAAATGGAATACTTTCCAGATGGGAAAATGAAAAGGACTTTTGTCTTCAGTTATTAGATGGCTTACCTACTCCAAGTAAGGATTGATAAAGTTCAATCTTAAAAAGTGTCTGTAACATGTACAAGCCTTGTTTAACACCAGTGGTATATCATAAACATCAGTATTATTGACAGATTAGAAAATCATGCCAGGGACCAATTATTTGTGCTGCTTCGTTATGCTTACAGATCAACCATTTTAATTGATTTATCTGGGTGGTTCCCCGAGGAGATGAGGTTGACCTTGCCCGCCTGTAAATAGCCAAGACAGCAGGATAAATATGTCAATCCAAAATCAATATCACTATCACCAGCAGAAAGAGTGCCATTCCACTGGATGTGTTTACCATCCACTAGTCAATGTGTCACTGCCAGGGGAGGGGGTACTGGAAAGGGCCAGAAGGTGGTAACAGACAACCACCAGGGGAGGGGGTTCCAATAAGGGCCAAAATATGATTACAGAGAGCAGCTTGGGGAGAGTGTACCAAAAAGGGCCAGAAAATGGTTACAGACAACAGCCAGGGAAGGGGGTACCAAGAAGGGCCAAAATATAATTACAGACAACAGAAGGTGGTACAGACAAGGGCCAGAAGATGGTAACAGATAACAGCCAGGGAAGGGGGTACCAAGAAGGGCCAAAATATAATTACAGACAACAGAAGGTGGTACAGACAAGGGCCAGAAGATGGTAACAGATAACAGCCAGGGAAGGGGGTACCAAGAAGGGCCAAAATATATGTACAGACAACAGAAGGTGGTACAGACAAGGGCCAGAAGATGGTAACAGACAACAGCCAGGGAAGGGGGAACAGACAAGGGCCTGTAGAGGGTTACATACAAGAACCATGCGTATGGATAAGGACTAGGAGTCTGGCTGCAGATCAGGATAAAAAAAAGTGCTAGAGACAGGACCTGAGGGAAGGGGTTAGTAAGAAAGGCCAGGAGAAAGGGTATGGAGAAGTGCTAGGGATGGAGCTACCAATAAGGACCAAGGATGGTTTACATATAAGGACCAGGGAGGAGGTACAGATAAGGACAGGAGGATGGGATACCATTAATTGGTATAATTGTAGAAAATGAGGTGGAAGAAAAAGAATGGTTAGAGTTCGTGTGAGCATAATGAAAAAGAATGATAGAATTTGTTTAGAAGTTTAATAATGTTTAGAGAGGACATATGATAGAATAAGGTATAAGGGAAGGGTAAAGGTGATAATAGAAAGGGGATTATTACTGTGGGGATAGGTCGAGGAACGGAAGGTATGGGGGGGGGGATGGTATATAGGAAGAAAATAAAGATAGTAGGGATTGAAGATCTGACATGTCATATGTAGAGCTCACTGAATATTGACATTAAAACTGATAGGGCTGTTTAAAAGTTTATGGAGAGCTTTGAGAAAGTTGACATAATCAATGCTGGATTTGAAAGGTTTTTTTTTCCCCCCCCCCCCCCCCCCCCCCCCCCCCACCCCTCCTTTTCTGTAAATAAGGGAGACAACTCTTATTTACCTCATGCTCTGGAAAGAATACTTTTTTAATTTGTAATTTTTTTTTTTTGAAAAGTTTAATCTTTCATTCCTCTTTCTATCTATGAAACAATTTCATAATATTTTATTGATTATGTTGATAGCAATAAAACAGTGCAATCAAACGCTGAAGTATCTGATTAATGTCTACATATCAAGGTCTTCAGTCATTACAGGATGACTTCTGATATCTCTGAAGCCTAAATGGTCTGGGGAACTTGACTAGCTACAGCTTGTGATGGGGATTCATGTCCCATAAGGATTTGGGGTTGACAATGCAGCTATGCCTACAGTGGTTAAGGATTGGGGGATCGACATAAGATAAGGATCTATATTGCAGAGGTCGCGTCCTGTTGTGTGAGATATCCTTGGTATCTATAATTCAGGAAATGAAATGCTGTGTTGTATGGAGATTGGAGTCTGTGGTGTTGTCTTCCCACTGGAACAATCACATGTCTGCATCTGATAAAAAATATCTTTATCTTCACTTGTTGGTATATTTCAAAGATTTGAAAAAAAAAATCACAGGCTGGATGTTTTTGTTATTACTTGCTATGTTTCTATGAATGTTTCTGGAAATGAAATATTAAGTGAGGGTCCACATTTATTGAGTTTCCTCTAGATTCCTCTTGAAGTCCTCTTGAACACTTAAGTATAGAAATACAACTAAGTCATATTTCAGGCAGATCCCTTGTCATTAATTGACTTCAGTTGTTGCCGTAAAATGTATCCAAAATAAAAAGGATAGTGTTAGATTCATTTAAATTTGCTGATTTTTTCTTTTGATAAATAATATGTTGGTGTTATAGTATGAAAAATGAAAAATAAGTTGGTTACAGAATTGTGATTAATGATCTGTGATCTGTGTGAAGTAAAGTTGTCTGTAGAAAAGCTTTTCTTTCATTTGTTGAGAGGTTTTAGGTTTGTTTTTTTGTTTTTCCATCTTCTTTTTAAAGTTTTTTATTAACTTTAAACATACTCAATCTTACAAATTCATTTTATTTCTTTTAGCAAATAGGCGGGATGATAGATTGTGAGTTCACAATAATTATTGTTCTAAAGTACTAAAATACATACAATGCTAACCACTAAAATATGTATGTTTACAGAATGTTAGCAGATTTATTGATTAATTAACAGAGGTAATGGTTAATGTTAGTGCCATTTCATGTGTTTCAGGATTACCTATTGCCACCTGCCATTCCAGAGCAAGTGGCTGTACATTGGGACAGAGCGAGGAAATGTACACATCGCCAACATAGAGTCCTTCGTCCTGTCTGGCTATGTCATCAACTGGAACAAAGCCATTGAGCTGTACGTAACTGACCTTGACCCAAAAAACAACAATAACATTTAAAAATCTCCATGATACAAGTAAACAATACTTGGAACACTTTTTGCAAAGATGTTCGTTCTTACCCAGAGAGTTTTGACTCCTAATGGATGTTCACATACATGATGATCACATTCCACAGAATAGATTCAGAAAAAGGATAATTGCATCAATTCTCACAAGTTCTTAACTTAATAATTGCTTTCCTCAAAATTTTTAAAGGTGTCAAATGTACTCTATCTGTTGCTTTGTTCAATATTTGTGTCTCTTTTCATCAGCTGTAGATATTTCTGAATATGAACATGATTTAATTGTCAAAAAAAATTTAAAGAGATAGCAAGCTAATCCGAGAATAGGTGCAGAATTACACAACATAGATCACTTATTTTGTCTGCTTTTATGACTCAATCAGCTGACTATATTGATGATGGTGACATCAGATACTTATTGTCGTCATGCATAATCATCGTAAAGGTTCTATATATATATATATATCCAACAGGATAGCCCAAAGTGTTCGCTCTCATTTAATAAGTCTACCCCTTGCCCGTGTATAAATTTTGTATTTCAGAAAATGTAATATTGCAGCCCAGGTGATCATTGTGACATTTAGGGCAATACGTAATAGAGCAGGATTCAAGGGTAAAAATAGCAAATAACATAAAACCAATGTGATTGCTCTCTTTTAGGGAAATAGTTTCAAATAAAGTGTAATGTTTCAGGAAACAACATGTAGAAATGTCAGAATCATGCAGATCAAAAGTGGTCACTGTGACATTCAGGAAAAAGCAATGTAATTCAGGATTTTAGAGATAAAAATGGCAATATCACAAACCCAAAGTACATGTATTCCAATTAGTTCTTATTTTTAGCTCACCTGGTCTGAAGTGTCAAGTGAGCTTATGCTGTTGCATATTGTTAAAATCTGTGTGGTTTCACCAAAAAAGTTGAGGCAAATGTATTTTAAAGGATTAAAATCTTTGTGGTTTTATCAAAACGGCTGACACAAAAGGATTTTTTTTTTTTTTTTTGCGGAATTTATGAAATTCACTTTTCCTTTCTCTGTGTTTTCACTGTTAGAGCTATATTCAAGGCCACTTTTGTTTTCACTGTTAGAGATATATTCAAGGTCACTTTCCTTTTCCCTGTTAGAGATATATTCAAGGTCACTTTCCTTTTCCCTGTTAGAGATATATTCAAGGTCACTTTCCTTTTCCCTGTTAGAGATATATTCAAGGTCACTTTCCTTTTCCCTGTTAGAGATATATTCAAGGTCATTTTTTCTTTTCTCTATTATATGGAAGTATAAGTGAATGTATTATATCAGAGTTTGATGTGTAAATCCAGCAAAATCACACCATTTTAATGAAACATACAGATTTAGATGTTTGTTGGAGAAACCTCTATTTCATAAGAACTGTTTGTTCCAGTGATATACTATTTTGACCTAATGTTGATATAGAGTAATAGCCAGCTAGACCTTCTGTCAGGATGGTTTCAAAGTGTAGAATTTATGTACATGTTAATTCACATTGAAGATTGTTGTAGGTTTTTGTTGATGTTCTGTTTACTGTTATTAGATATTACTGTATGAAAGTGGAAGTAGAGTTTTCCATCTGATGGACAGATTGATTGAATTTCTTTTAACCCTGCATTGTGGTGAGATTGACATTTTGGGGAAAAAACTAATCTGGATCTGCAATCCTGTATGTCTTATTGTCTAGACAAGTGTAATCAGTACACATGGACAACCTCGCCATATCACAGAAAATCACTTCATGTGTCAGTGCTAGAATTTTTATGTATAAGATGATGAAGAAAATTTATCAGTTGTTGGTACAAAAGCTCTAGGCCATGTGTTTGTCAAAATTGTACTTAGTGAGCACTCATGTGATTGTGTGTATTCCAGATATAATAGTGACCTCTCTGGTGATAACAAATATCCCAGGTGTATTGAGCCCTCTTATGATAATTTTAACCCAGATGTATTAATGAGTCTTATGGTAATTGTATGTTACCAACGACTACTAGTAAGCCTACTGATAATTGTATGTAACCAGTACAACTAGTGAGCCCTGTAGTAATTGTATATTATCCAGGACTACTATTGAGCTCTCTGATGATTAACCCAGGAGTACTAGTGTGCTCTCTGGTGATTGTATGTAACCCTGGAGTACTAGAGTGCCATCTAGTAATTGTATATAAACCAGGTGTAGCAGTGAGCTCTCTGGTAATCGTATATAAACCAGGTGTGGCAGTGAGCCCTCTGGTAATTGTATATAAACCAGGTGTAGCAGTGAGCCCTCTAGTAATTTTATATAAACCAGGTGTAGCAGTGAGCCCTCTTGTATTTGTATATAAACCAGGTGTAGCAGTGAGCCCTCTGGTAATTGTATATAACCGAGTACTACTTGTTAGCCTTCTTGAAATTTTATGTAACCCATAAGTGTTAGTGAGCCTTCTGATGATTGTATGTAACCTTGGAGTACTAGTGAGCCCTCTGGTAATTATATATAACCCAGGACTACCAGTGAGCTTGTTGATAATGGTATATAACCCAGGGGTATTAGTGAGCCCTCAGGTAATTGTATATAACCCAGGACTACCAGTGAGCCTGTTGATAACAGTATATAACCCAGGACTACCAGTGAGCCTGTTGATAACTGTACATAACCCAGGGGTATTAGTGAGCCCTCAGGTGATGTATAATCATTGGTTTATTGATTTGCTTTCTTGTATTGCTGCAGAGCCCAGGTACATATAGAGAGACCTTGTTTGATGGCATGTAACCATGATGTATCAGTGGACCCTCTGGTTTTGGTGTGTAGCCTGAGTGTACTAGCGAGCAGGTTCCGCAGTGAGCTCTCTAGTTAGGATGTGTAACCAAGATGTTAAAATGAGCTCTCTGCTAATGTGTTCTTGTGAGCCCTTTAATATAACCAGTATGTACAAGTAAAGTCTCTGATAATGACTACATCAGCTCATTGGCTTAACATCTGTATAAAGCCTTAACATTAAAGTACTTTGATGAGTGTCTCTAAATTATCTATTCGAAAAAACTCCATTTGATATTATAACATTATAATGAGTATTTTGGAAACCACATAAATTTGTTTAAAATGTGACTCTTTTGAGGATTGGATAGCAAGCAAAATCAATAGGAAACCAAAAAAAGAAGAATTCTATTTGAAAAAGATTTCTGATTTCCACTGGGAGTAAATTTTTGTCAGAGTTGCAAGGCAATATGACATTTTTTGGCTTGTGATGCAGTTGAAACTGTGTGGGCTTATAACACGTGTTGCAGATCTGTGCATGGCTGACTGTTTGTAAGAATGTGTCAGACAGTACTTTAACAAACTTCCAGGTACTCTACATTTGAAGCTGGTCTTAGAATGAGCTGAAAGAGACTTAATTAGCTGCCTTTTAGTTAACTTTTGTGAGGTTATTGCAGAGAATGCCCCATCACCTTTCTGTCCTTATCAGCATTTATAAGCAACGTCAGGCTCTATGAATTTGACATTATCATGCCTCACATGGCCTGTTAGCGAGTCTGACAGAACAACTTACTATGTTGATGGTTTAAGAGCTAGGAAACACTCTACCACGCCATCCTGTTCAACCACATGATAGGCCACAACAGTTTTCATTAAGTTGATCAATTGTATTTTTATGCAGCCTCTCAAGAAAAATCAATCATGACCATGTAAGTTGTAAACTGCCTTCAGTGAGTTTCAAAGAATATTACTCGCTTGTTGCTTCTTGGTACTGTGGCTTAATTAAATTGGAGTCAATAGTAAATCATCACAGTAGTCAAGCCATTGATAGACTCTACCAGAACCCAAGGATAGTCAAGTATTAGTCAAGTTAGAGTCAATGATGGACACATTTCTTATGCATTAGTCTTGTTTCAATCAATGGTGCATATATTGGTTAGGCATGAGTCAAGTTGGGGTCCATGGTGGACATATTGGTTTAGCATAAGTCAAATTGGAGTTGGTGGTGGACATATTGGCTTGGTGTAAGTCAAGTTGGAGTTGGTGGTGGACATATTGGTTTTGTATAAGTCAAGTTAGAATCAAAAGTAGACATGTAGGTTTTACCAAAGTCAAGTTGGAGTTAATGGTGGACACATTAGTTAAACAATTCTGTCAAATTAGAAATAATGGTGGACACATTGGTAAGGCAATTCTGTCATGTATACCAGATTTTAACATAGTATTCACTAAATGCAGCCATGTCATGGATTTATGTCTTGAATTTATAGTAATGTGCTTGTACTTAATTTATGTCTTAAGACTCATATTTTTCAAGTGAAAAAGTAATAGTAATTTATGGCTATTAAGATTGAACTTTAGTAATTTTCCACCATACTAAATTAAAAAAAGGCAGTAAATTTCTGTGGACTCCAGAACAGAAATGTTGGATCAATGTTTGCATGGTTCCAATCCATTATTATCAGAATTTGGATTGCTTAAATGATGAACTAGTATGGATATTGGAAGATGGATATCAGGGCTCTAGACATTTGCTTTACCTCATGTTACAAGATCCTTGATTGGCCGTGACAGAGAAGAAGAGCGATTTGTTTCTCAGTTGACATATTGCTCGAAATTGATGTGATCAGCTGTCAGTTTTATTGAGCGACAAATGATTATGTAAACATAGGAAGTTCCATATAGATACCTTGTTACTGTAGTCTATGTCTACATCTTTGATAAAGTCGGGTATGTGACCTACAATCATAATCTATTGGATTTTCTCTCTTGTAAATATGATAGGACGGGGTTTGGCCTGAAATGGGTTGTATGTCATATGTGATTAGTGAGAATTCTGTCCTGTAAGGATGATCAATCAGGGTTCTTAAGTGAACTAACAGGGATTCTGTCTCTGGAGTGATAATATATATTACAAAGCTTACTATGTAACAACTAGGGTCTAGCTAGGATGCTAGGGCATCTTTAAATGTGGACCTGCACCATCA